CACGTCCCGCCGGGAAGCGGCGATCGGGACGGAGCCGGGGCCGCTCCTCTCCTGCCGCCTCGGGAATTATTCACTCCCGGGGAGGGCAGCGGGAGGGGGCACCGCCAGCCCTGTCCGTACAACCCGTTAAGTCGCCTTTCCACCCCTGCACTTTTTCTTCCTTTTTGAAACCCGAGTTACAAAGATCATCAAACGCGAAGATGCCCAGAATTGTTTGGATTTATTGCAACAATCACTTACCATACACATTTCCTGTGTGGAAGGATAAGCATTCAATACAACTCTTTAAGTAGACAGTTCCTAATGATTTCATTGTGGTCAACCAGATGGTTTTTATGTATTTAGATCTGAAGGTGAAGAATTATTTTCCATGCTTCCAACCTATTTACAGACTTCCCTGGTCTAGAGCTGGGGTTGTTGGTTAAAAGAAAGAAAATCCTGCAATTTCTCGATTGCATCGCTGGATGATCCAGAAAGTTTTCTAAAGAACCTAAAGCAAAAACAGGGATAATTCCTTTCACCTCTTCTGGCTTTCCAAGCTACGCCATTGACATGTGGAGTAATTTTAGCTCATTCGTTGAATAACGCTGCCAATTTAAACCGCCTCTCTACCTTTGTTTTATCTGCAATAATAAAACCAGAACAACACCGCATGTGAGATCCAGGCACTTGGTTCCTACCTGGAAGCAGCCAGGGACAAGAGCGGCAATCTTTTAGAGATGAAGGACCCGAAGAGGGGCGAGGATGTTGGACAAACTTCAGCCGCGTCCAAAATTAAGCTAAGTGCGACTTAACAATGAGTGGTCAAAAAAAAAATTATCGGTCTTTGAGCGGGGAATCGCGCATTTTGGGGACGGCTTAAAACTAAAGTTCACCCGGGGACTGCGCGATCGCAAAAATGAAAGCTTCGGAGTAAATAAAATTACTGTCTGGGCAGCGTTGCTTGAACGCACAGAAACCCTGGCGTGTATTTTGGGTTTTGGTCGGGTTTTGTTTTTTGTTGTTTTTTTCCCCCCCGATACTTTTATTGCAAAATAAAAGATTAAGTTTGTATATTTTAAAGGGGAAAAAAACCCACAAACAAAAATATCCCAAACCAACAAACCCCTGGGTGGATGCGTGCATCTGCTTATTTCCTTTGAAAAAAGTTTTTGTTTTGCAGCTGCTGGGAAATGAAATTGTCGGTGCCCAGAGCGACCGCGGAGAGCGAGCGCCGGGAGCAGCGGAGGGAAGCGAGGAAATAACTGCCCGGCTTACCCCACCGAAAAATACGGAAGAAAAAAGAAAAGGAAAAAAA